AGCCTCAAACATCCCGCCCAGCCCCCAGCACGAACTGTTCGCCTCCCTACCCTCTGGCCGGAGGTTCAGAAGTGTGAAGTGCAGGACCTCCAGACTGAAAAACTTTTTCTTTCCCTCTGCCATCAGACTCCTAAACAGCTGAGGAGTTTATTACCAGGAAATACATCATGTACTGTCGACCTGTACTGTTTACATTCTCAGTTTGCACATGCATAATTGCACATTGACTGTTGACTGCTGCACATGCTGCTCCCATGCAGCATACATTCTCTTATTATATTCTTATATATTTTTATTATATTGCTGCATTTGCTGCTTAAAGTGCCTTAGATTTTGTGTTACTTATTTATCTACTTTATATTTCATTTATATTTTGTGGCATTCATGTGGACTGCAAAGTAAGAATTTCATTGTAGAGGGAAACACGTTTCCTAACTGTGCATATGACAATACACGCTTTGACTTTGAGATGGGGGCCGTTCTGATCCACCCTCCAGTCTAGAAGGTGGTGGTAATGCACCTAAAGTTGTTTGCCAACCACCGTTATACAGTAGAGGAAGAGGAAGAAGAACAACAGGAAGAAGAAAAAGGAGAAGAAGAAGCAACAACTACTATTGTAACTGTAACTTCAACTTCTCATGCTACAGCTCCCATATTTTGGGGAAGTGTCAGGCTAGGGTTAGACCGAATGTTTCTTTCTAGTTGTACAGTCGACAAATGATGGTTCCAGTGGAGAAAAATGTGTTCGGGATCTGGTCGAGTCTAGTGAAACGACGCTGTCGCAATGATTTTCGTTTTCTTGTACATTCAAGTCATCGTCCAAGGTAATTTAATATCAGGAAAGACATTCTTTTGAAGTTACTAGTGTAGCAATCCGTGAGACGAGGCGACCTTTTCTGTGTGTGTGTATGTGAAATGGAGATGTGTCTGAAGCTAACAAGGCCTCCGCCATTAAACAAAGCCCTTTTCTGTTAGGAAAATGATAGTTAAGCTAGCCGGCCACACTCAACCGAAAACCCACATTCCCAAAGCTTCCCCTCATGTTTTGTTTGGTCTTTTTACGAAATTGTATATTACTTGTGTTGTGGATGGTTTAGTACTATAAGCTATATTTTTGTTAGCCTCTTCCGGCTCTTTTAAACCAGGAACTCACAAAGACGAAGTAGACCACTTGGATTATATAAAAAATAACCGTGCTGGTTTATTCAAAGGATCACAGGTAAAATTAAAATTACACGTCCAGATCTCTTCCACCCCCAAACCTGCGCGCAGGCAGCATGGAGATGCAAGCTCCTGAACCCAAAATACCTATACAATATATCTGGTTTGGGCTAACCCCGTTCTACACAGGCAACGTCAAACCGTGACGTCACCTGATATGCCAGCTTTGCAGCTGACCATAACAATAGTCAAAACATGAGGAAAATCAATGTGTGTGTGGCTGTTGATTATGTGGTGTGTATCTAAAAACATACAGGACATTCAGGAACATGTCCGGACAGTAAGTCTCGGAAGATATTATGATTAAGATTACGGCTGAACATATCACAATAAAATAATAACAATTACCTCCTGCCTGCAGACTCTTCAATCTAGTTGACCTTGGCCTATATGCAGCCTGCAGAGCTCATAAGGATGACTAAGCATTTAACAGCCTGAGCTAGACATCCTGGCTACACTAAACATTTTCTAGACAACAAATCTCTAACAAATATTTATCTGACTAAGAAATTACCTAACAGTACCTAACCTAACGCTAATGGTATAGTCGTATTTAAAGTGTCCATGGCTGCTCATTTTGCTCGTTTCCGGCCATTCAATGTTTAATCTTGGGTACGTCTAGATTAGGCTTGCACCCCTCATAACTCCAACTAGTTTGTAATTATTCCAGAATGATGAAACCAGAGAGCCTCTTCCTTAAAACGAGAGGATAGTTCGTGAACGTACACAGCTCTTGTTACCGGTGTTGACGCAAGTGGACAGCACAAGAAAACGTAATGGCATTAATCTGAAAAAAATCAACTGGACAAGATTTCTAGGTCGAAGACCTTTCACTATGGAGATAAAATACTATCAAAAATGTTACAAATGCGTGTTTAATGTTTTGTCTGTAACAAGCGATTTGTGTGTGTGTGTGTGTCATGAGGATCACAAATGCGTGCTGCGCAATCTGCACGTATAAAGCCATTTGTGTGTGTGTGTCATGCTGTTCACAAATGCATGCTGTACAAACTGCACATAAAACACATTTTACAAATGCTTAAAATCGATTTTTTTGTGTGCAGTTCTTTAGAAAGTACGTACACATTGTTACCTACGCATGCGTGGTTCGTCTAACACACACGAATCACCTTCCGCGCACACACGGATTTTTGAGAGTGTTTTTCCGCACTCTCAAAAGTCCACGATCCACGAATGCACGGTGCGTTTAAGGACACGTGGAAAACTCGGACATC